TTCCTGTTGTGGAGCTTTTATAGAATCATGTTGTCTGCCAATAATGATAGTTTCACCACCTCCGCTCCCCGTTTGAAACCTTTAATGCACTTCTTCTGTCTTATATTGTTAGCTAGGGCCTCCAGTATGATGCTGACTAGAAGTGGGGACAAGGGGCACCCTTCGCTGGTCCCCTTTTTCAGGGGGATGCTTTTGGTCTTTTCTGTTTTGACTGATGTTGGCTGTTGCCTTTTCATAGACAGCTTGTATTGACGTGAGGACTTTTCCTTCTAGTCCTCTCTTCTTGAGTGTCTTAATTAGGAATGGGTGTTCCATGTTGTCAAATGCTTTTTCTGCATCTGTCGCTATTATGTGATTCTTATACTTTTTCTTCTCAGTGTGGTGTATAATCTTGATAGATTTCTGGATGCTAAACCATCCTTGCATCCCTGGGACGAATCCTACCTGATCATGGTGGATGATATGTTTTATATACTTTTGTATTTGATTGGCCAATATTTTGTTAAGGCATTTTGCATCTATGTTCATTAGAAATATCGGTATGTAGTTCTCTATTCCTGTGTGATTCTTGAATTATTTGGGAATCAAAGCTATACTGGCTTTGTAGAATGAGTTTGGGAGTTTGACATCCTTTTCTATGCTCTGGGATAATTTGTGGAGGATCAGTGTGTCAGCTCTTCCCTGAGTGCTTGGTAGAATTATCCTGTGAAGCTGTCTGGTCTGGGAGCTTTTCTTGTTGGTAGTTTCTTGATAACCATATTTACTTCTTCATTTTCTATAGGTCTGTTGAGGTTCTTGACCTCTATCTGGGATAATCTAGATAAGGATTCCCCCTCCCCCCCCCAAGTATTTGTCCACATCTTCCACATGGTTGAATTCATTAGAGTACAGACTTTCATAGTACTTTGTGATCATTCTTTTTTTTTTACATCACTTAATTTTTATTTTATTTTTTAAATCTTTTTTAACAGCTTTATTGACATTTCATCCACAAATCATAGAATTCAATAGTTCAATCATATCAAGAAGAGTTGTACAATTATTACCACATTCAATTTTATAATATGATCTTCTTCCTTGTATTCATTTTTATACGTGTAATTATTTTTTTAATTGGCAAAAATATGTACACCAAAACATTCTCCAATTCAGCAACTTCTACATGTTGATATCTTTTTCCAAATTATTCTACCACCATTAACATAAACTCAATGTATCTTAAGCATAAACTTTTCCTCATTCACCCATGTTAACTTTTTTTTTAATCATTTTATTAGGGGCTCATACAACTCTTATCACAATCCATACACACATCAATTGTGTGAAGCGCATTTGT